AGGTAAGAGGAGGCCAGGAGTTTAAATGAGAGAATTCCTTTATAAAGATATCTAATTAGTCAATTAACAATAATATAGCAAAATAATATATACATATCACAACTAATAATAATAGTCATAACTTAATGTATTCAAGACACCTTGAAAGAAAATGTTAACTGTATTTATTTTGAAAATGTATATAATATGAATGTTTTTTAAAATAGCAACTTAAAACTCTTAAATACTAAAAATATAATTCATACATAAGAATTTATAAGTTAAAAAGAAGCATCTACACTTTGGGCCAGTGGGTGTACTATAAGAGTGATGGTCAAATTCCACTATGCATTTGAATTTGACTGTTACTCTTATAGTGCACCCACTGACTTAAAGTATAAATATTTTTTAAAATTTTTTTATTAAAGGATATGAACCAAGGGCTCTCAAATCCAAAGTCTAGCTCACTAACTACTGGGTTATGCTTAGCCCATATAAAAAGAATAAAGTATAAACCTGACTGGTTATGAAGTGAACCCCCGCCCATTCATAAGACCCAATTAATCTACTCAATCTCCCTGTCACTGCAACTGTTTCTTTCTTAATTCAAGATCTGGTAGTGTTTCATCTGCTTCGACATTCAAGTAATTGTGCCTATGAAGACTTCAATGAAAATCACTCAAAAAAAGGAATACTGTTACAATCCTATTGACCACAGGATATAATGAATATCCACTAGGTTTGATATGTATAACAGTGCTCAAACCAAACACAGGAAGTTTACCCTCATTGCACTTCTGGTATACTATTGCAAAATGTACATTCTCAATTCACTCCAGAAGAAGGTCTATCTTCCAAAAGCTCTCAGGCAGTCACGTCACAGAACATAGTATACTTTACATTTGTCTCTGTAGAGAGAGAGAATATTTTTCTATTGTTTCTTCTTCTTCTTCCAAACACTTTTTAATTGATCGCCATTTTTTCATTTCTCAACAGACTGACTTGAAACTTGGTAGGGTTATATGTTGATCCTATACAACCAGATGCTTCTTTCTTTTTTTTAACAATTACTCTGCCTTATGCCTTATTTTGGCCAACTTACATGGAATATGGTACAAATATACAAATGCACAAAGCTACAAAACAGTATCTGCACATAAAAACTTGATAATGAGGACCCCACTCTAAAGAAATTAAAGGTTCTGAGATGGCTTCACTAGGTAATAAAGTTTTTTCATTCTTAAGTCAAGCCGTCTCGAAACTATTAGTATTTGCACATAGCCATCCATACTTTTGAAGTCAACATCACCCACTGCCAACTTTAGTTACTTTTATCTGACTGAACAGTGTGATTTTGCCATTACTGTTATAATGCACCCTTGGCCCCAAACAAAACGTTTAATGCATGAATGGGACATGATTAGTTTTTGTAACTTTTGCATGGGAAAAATTAGCACTCTTTCTAAATTTTTTAATATTAAAATGGAAGCATTATTTTTCCCCATAAAAGTAAGATACAATTAACAAAACTAGTGTAGTGAAAAACAAAATGAACATGTACATCAATATAAGCTAAAAAACAAATT